TACCTCTTATTTCTAAAATTCTCGCTCGTATTGCGTCAGCATCCTCTATTTCTTTCTCAATTTCTTCAACCTTACACAACGACAACATTTCATCCTCCATACCTCGTAATAATTTCTCTTTCTCCTCAAGTAAGTTGTCTAAAATCTTCAAACGTGAACGATTCAACGTGGTTATCTCGGGGTTTTCAACAATCGACTTCGCTTCTTCTATAAATTTTGTTGTAACTCCACGATGCCCCCTTCTTTTTGCCTTTAAACGATCAATATCTGTCTCACTCATGGTAACGAATACTTCAAAATTCAAACGACAATCAAATTCAAACGAAAACGATGTTTAAACGACGAAAATACGATCCCAATACGGCCCCACGTTGGGCGGCATGTTATGAATATGTAATTAATTTATTCTAAAACGCGCCAAAATTAGACGGGTAATAACAACACAAAATAATCGCGACAAAAATATCGCTTAAACTAATAATCTACGTTACAAGTACAAAGTTATTAATAATCCCAACCCCTATCACTAAGATTATAGCACCTAAAAAATTTTACGTGGCATGTCACTACGTCATCATCCACAATTTTAAACATTTCCTAATTATTATTTATTTTTTCCTTTTTGAATGCACTTCTCAACTCGTTATAATCTTGAAACCCAGTTTGTTTAGCAACAACTTCCAGCCACTTTCCCTGAATTATTTCTTTAGTTTTATCATCCATTAACTCTCGTCCTCTTGATGCAGATCCTGTGACAACTTTATTGGGCACAACATCATGGGGAAGCCCGCAAGCTACATTCCGATAACGTGCGATGCGCATGTCTGAAAACTTCTTCTGGTTTCCCTTCATAAATTCAAAAGAGCTCATTTCCACAGCCTTCTCAATCTTTTCTTCATCCTGAATTCCTATGAATGCTGCAGTCTTCCTAACTACACTTTCCAAATCATCTTTCATATCCTCAAAGAACAGAAACAAAACATTCGAATCATTCCTGTGTTCCCACCAGCTAACCAAGTGGAGGAAATAGGATGCATTTTCCATCTTGTTTTGTGGTACTCCCCTAGCCAGCAAAAAATCCTTTATAAACTCATGATGTGAAACTTCTCCGGGTTGGAACATCCAACCCTCAAAGAATTTAAAGAAGCTGTTAAAAGCAGCACATGGTTCACGGTAAATAACAATGTATTTAGCTCCCTTCGGACAATGGGGATACCATGCGTGGGTCTTGTAACATCTAACAATAAGAAAAAACATATCTTAAATTAATATCATACAACAAATTCAGAATATATAAAAATTATAATGTCATTCAGTTGATCTTATTAGAAACTAGAAGGCACTCAGAGACTGCATACCTCCGCCCCCATTGAATTTCGGTCGTGTGAAATGCAACTAAGACAATAGATAATGAAGGCCGAAGCTTTATGAGGTTTATCATCCGATTATTGTCTTCTTAGTAATGCGTGCATACATTATACACGTCCTAATTACGCATTCAGTGATTTTTTTTTAATTGACCGGGAAAAACAAGACAAAATTTTGTTCATTTCTCGTTCAATTTTTAACCAAATTCAACCAAATTTTAATCAGTTCTTCCTTAGCCGATGGGAAATGCATTCAAAAAATTTCGTATGAATATGTTTGGTATTTCTTGAGTTATCGTGCTCACAGACAAACACACACACATACAACTAGACAAATACACAAACACATCCATTGTTCAGTTGTTCTACAGTAGGGGTAACCTTGAATGTGCCATTAAAATGATAGTTGGGACAAAACTGACTTCAAACGGCCTGTTCATCTGGGCAAAAGTTATCCCGGTTTAAGGAGAAAACTTTCGACTAGCCAAATACTTTTGTTCTGTTCACATGGAGAAACTTTACCTCGCTTACCGGGTAAAGTTTCCGGCTGTGACGTAGCGCTGAACATGAATTGAATTGAAAAGTTGCTGACACGACAGAAAGTTATCCCGCTAAGCAGGAAAGTTGTGTTCATATGGGAAAACCATTATCCCGGTCACCAAGATTTCGCCTGTCAACAAGCGAGATCTCGGTACACGGAAAAAGTTGTCTCATATGAACACAATGTAACTTTTCATATTATTTTCATACCAAGGTCAGATCTCCCTTGTAAACTTGTTGAAAAGTTTTCTCGCTAACACAGATAACTTTTGCCCATATGAACAGGCCCTTACTGGTAGTATTTCTATGTATGAAATTGTAATTAAATTCTACATATCCAATGATTCATTCAAGTATTATTATTGTTTTTACCTCCGCCAGGAGGTTATGTAATCATCTGGGTTTGTATGTGTGTGTGTGTGTGTGTATGTGTGTGTGTATGTGTGTGTGTGTGTATGTGTGTGTATGTGTGTGTGTTTGTCTGTGAGCACGATAACTCAAGAAATACCAAACATATCCGTACGAAATTTTTTGAATGCATTTCCCATCGGCTAAGGAAGAACTGATTAAAATTTGGTTGAATTTGGTTAAAAATTGAACGAGAAATGAACAAAATTTTGTCTTGCTTTTCCCGGTCAATTAACAAAAAATATTACTGAATGCGTAATTAGGACATGTATAATTTATGCACTCAGTGCTAAGACAATAATGAGATGATAAACCTCATTAAGCTTCGGCCTTCATTATCTATTGTCTTAGTTGCATTTCACGCGACCGAAATTCAATGTCTAAAACAAGGCTTACGGAGTTACGCATTATTACGTTCAGCAAAGTGCCAGTCCATTCAAATTCTAACAACATTAGATTACTTCAATACAGGGTGTATAAAAAGAACGCAACCTCGGAATTTCCCAAGAAATCGACATTGTTTTAAAGACAAAAGATTTTAGCTGCCTGGGAATTTAAAATAGCACAACTGTGAAAATTACTGCACGCGCGAGTGCATAAAGCAAAATTTATGCATTTATTTAATGACACTTAATAAGTTTTTATTTTACAAGTACTGTACAGCACAACAACAGTAATATGTTCTATTAGCAATTCGATTTCAATTCGCGGGGGCCTGAAATCTTTTATGCTTAAGAATTGTAAAGTGGATTTCTTAGGAAATTCCAAGGTTGCCTTTCACTTCCGAGTAACGGGCGGAGGTATGCAGTCTCTGAGTGCCCTCTAGTTATACATGATATTCTACACTATTCAGTGGCAAGTAGCCATGACAACTGGTCGTGGCTATGCCAATAAACCTGCATCTATCTGAATAATGCAAATCATTAAAAATGTGCATAGCATCACCTGTGGACTTTCACAAAGTCCTACTTTTTTTTAGAACGAAAGAATTTTGAAGGAAGTAATTTCTTGAAGAGTAAGGAATTCGTGTAAGTCAATAGGATTTAGTAGAATCATAGAGAATATAAATAACACTAGAGGAGGCATCACAATCTTGACATTAGGCAAAAAAGGAATCCTACTATTGGGGGGAAATTCCTGCATGTGTACTTGTGTTCCCATTGGTGAGAGCATGATTTGATATCCGGGACCTACATTTGCCCCAATAGACATGTTCCCAAATATTTAAGCTCAATGCCTCTTCTAGTGTTATTTATAATCTTTATTATTAGAATATCTAGCCGACCTTCGACTTTGTGCAAGGTGTTTTCGTATTCAAATTGCACTTTTCCTACCTTCTGAACAGGTGTGTCTTAAGGCTGTTTTCCAGTCCTCGCACGAAGCTCCTCGCAGCTGGCTGAGAGTGCTTGCATCTAATTAAAATTAAAGGTTTAGCATTGTGATTGGATGAAAGTGCTCATGCATCACTCGCAGCGAGCTGCGAGGAGCTTCGTGCGAGGACTGGAAATCCGCCTTTAGGGTGCCTTACGTGCTTGTGTGATGGAGGACGGGTTGAGGCAGCACTTTCTTTGCGATAGTAACTTCTAGTTCATATACTAAGTGGTTCCGTATTTTTTACCGGTTACGTATGACGTCATTGACGTCAACGAATTAAGAGGGCCTCTCAGTAAAATCCACCCACTGGTTTGGGGAAGGGAAAATAGATTTAGCTCATATTTTGCATATGAACTAGACTTTGGTCAATATTAATCGAGCCTCTTTCAGAACGTTTCAACTTTCTGTTTTATAGGAGTTATAGCCATGTTAAAATTTGACCTTGCGAGAATATTTTCAGACCGGAAATGAAGGGGAATTTTACAAGAATTCATCTGATTTTTTAAAAACGTTGTGATGCGTTTATCCCCTCCAGTTACTGTTCACATGCAAGATTAACACTAATACTCTCGTTTACATAGAGATTGAACAACTTTATTTGCTTAATACGATTTTTTTATAGTTTTACGAAACTATGTTTTCAAGATGGCGACGAGAGGCTTAAAATTGCTCATATTTTACTTAAAATAGCTCAAAAGTGGCACCTATCTGAAGTTCAAAAGGCATGTAATTTGAAAGTATACCTACTAAAGGTAAGTAATCAGGAATAAAACTCGTCTGCAAGCAATTTTCTGAAAAGTTATAAATCTCCAAATTGGGTCTATTTTTAGCAGTTTGTTTACATTCGCGTGTTCGCTGATCAGCGAGACTAGTAATAATTAAAAAGTTAAATAAGCTGGTTTCTTATCCAGGTTCTAATAGGGGTTAGGTTAAAACGCGGAAGCGGATGCGGAACGGAACGGATGCGGAACGGATATGCGGAACGGAACGGATATGGGTTAAAATGCGGAACGGAACGGATATGCGGAACGGAACGGATATGGGGTTAAAATGCGGAACGGAACGGATATGGGGTTAAAATGCGGAACGGAACGGATATGGGGTTAAAACGCGGAATGGAACGGGAATAAAACGTTTTTTAAAAACAGACATGATTTTTCATGTTCCGCGTTTTAACCCCATATCCGTTCCGTTCCGCATTTTAACCCCATATCCGTTCCGTTCCGCATTTTAACCCCATATCCGTTCCGTTCCGCATTTCCGTTCCGCATTTTAACTCCATATCCGTTCCGTTCCGCATATCCGTTCCGTTCCGCATTTTAACCCCATATCCGTTCCGTTCCGCATCCGTTCCGTTCCGCATCCGCTTCCGCGTTTTAACCTAACCCGTTCTAATAGACACTTCCCGAATTTGCTTGAGTGCACACGAAACAATAGCTTGGAATCGAGGCGGACAATGTAATCCATTGGAAAACTATACTTATTTCCAATGGATTACATTGTCCGCCTCGATTCCAAGCTATTGTTGCGTGTGCACTCAAGCAAATTCGGGAAGTGTCTATTCACAACATAAAAACATTAAAAATACAACCTTAACCATTCTTGGCTTATACGCATGAATAATTTCACAACTGTTAAATATCTTTTTAAGGTATAATCGGGCAGTACTTTCTGTGGTTGTAGCAAATTCCAAAGCTGTCAGTATCTCTGGCTGTATATAAAAAGTGTTCGGTGCTTTAACTTTTTTATTCAACTCGTCTCGTAATCTTTTTCTGTCCCTGCAAATGGAAATTTTGCCGGAAAGGTCGGACATTAATTCTTGCAGCATGGATGCAACATATTTTTGTACATAATTGCAGTCAAAATACTACAACCTTCCCACTTCCGCTTTTGTAGTCTGTTGTCATTTACTATTTTGTTTTGACTTTGGCATTATTGTAGCGGTTGCCGAATTATGGAGAAATATGGCGATAAAATTTAGTTGTTTTTTTATTTTTGTAATATTTTAAATAATTGTAACAAAGGATGCATTTTTCGTTTGATTCACTGCATATAAACAGATAAAAGTTTTGAAATTTAACTTATGTCGTCGTATTTCCCTATAATTTGTTAACCGCTACAATAACAGAAATACTGCAGTAAGAGACAGAGATTTTCAAAAAAATAGTTTTTAAAAAAGTTTTAAAAGAGTTTTAAAAAGCAAAAAAGTTTAAAAAGTTAGATTTTTAAAAAAGTTAAAAAAATTTTAAACGGTTAAAAAAGTTAGGGTTAGGAGTTAGGGATTACTGGTTAGGATAAGTTAGGATTATTATGATAAATTCAAAATGTGCTGCGAATTTATCATAATGATAATTTCGGACGTGTTTAAGAATTTACTCATATAGTAAATTCAAAGGTGGAGCTCACGCTGAACTGCAACACTAGCTTGCCAGTTATTTTTGATAGCAGCTCCTATTTTTACTTTGTGCATGCTTGAGTCATGGAAAAGAACTGTTCTTTTGCTGGCCTGGGGAATTTTGCATGTGGAAAAAGCCGGGGAATACAGAAAG